CATCTCTGAGGTCTGCCCAGCCTGCAGGTCCGGCTGGGAGGAGGGATCCTTTGCTGTGATGTCAGTGTCTCTCGAGTTATCCAGGGGCAGGTTCCCTGAGCACCATGTGCCAGGCACAGAAGGCCCTCAAGTGTTAGAATAAACAAAGGAAACAAAGGATATAATCCACATCTAAGGATGCGGATTGACAGGACCAGGGCTTCCTTCACACTTGACCTTGATGAAGAGGAGCAGAGCTTTCCAAACAGGTACCCTGAGGACCTCTGCGCCTAGAGTTAAGGTGCACTGGAGACAAACCATAAGGGACTCTTAACTCTAGGAAACAAACTGAGGGTTGCTGGAGGGGAGGGGGGTAGGGGGATGGGGTAACTGGGTGATGGGCATGAAGGAGGGCACTGGATGGAATGAGCACTGGGTGTTCTGTGCAACTGATGAATCACCAAACTCTACCTCTGAAACTAATAATATACTATATGTTAATTAATTGATTTTAAATTTCAAAAAAAGAAAAAAAATACACTGGAATATTTAAAATGAAGAAATAAGCACATGCCGCATTTCCTGAACGAATTCACTCATGGAAATCTTTGGGAGATTTCTATCAATATCTCGAGGGACTAGTGTCCTACTGGGCATTTTGGAAAACGCCTCCCAAAGTTGCCCTCCCAAAGCACATGCCGCATTTTCTGAACTAATTCACTCATGGAAATCTTTGGGAGATTTCTAGCAATATCTTGAGGGACTAGTGTCCTACTGAGCGCCGTTTTGGAAGACGCCTCCCAAAGTTGCCCATGTGGCCACCACTGGTCTGCAGTGGAAACCATCTACTACCTGCAACACCACCCGCACAGTCCTGCCTTTGGGCGCTGGCTTATGCTCTACCCGCTCCCCAAATGCCCTTTCTCCGCCTGCTCCTGTTCCACGGTCTATCTTAAGTCCCACCCACTCCCAGGAGCCCCCCAGCGGGACTTCACCGCTTGCTGCTTGAGCTCCTCAAACAGATGGCAGCGGACCCGTGCTATTTCTTTGTGTCCACAGCACAGCCCAGGGCCAGGCTGGTGGTGTTCCGGGAATGCTCAGTTGATTGGCTCAGGCTGGGGCAGGTGTGAGGGCTCCCCTCCTAGCCACCTTCTCTCCCCTCCAGCCTCTGGCCCGGTTCATCCGGGATGAAGCAGCCACACCTCACCGCCAGGAGGGAAATTTCTTCACCTTTGCAACTTCCCTTCTCTTCCTCTGTTCCTTAATATGCAGGGCGCATGGACCAGAGGGAAGGGAACCAACAGATCTATTTCCATGTTCTCTTCCTCCGAAGTGAAACCCGGGGCATTTTCTTATTTAATTATTAATGCCCTAAATCAGATGGTGCCCGATGCGTTAACCTCTGTCACTCGGAATGGAGTCGGCCTAATAACCACTGTGGCAGCATTGATTTTCCCTCAGTCATCTCGTGAGCATGTCTTTGGGATCCTTCCTCTGAGAGAGCGCCAAGCCCCATTCACGTTCACAGTGGTGAGGAGCTGCCCCCGTGGGGAGGGGGCGTGGCCCCTCTCTGGCTACTCTTCACTTAGCCTCAGTAAATTGCCTGAGAAAGAAATACTTTTTCTAAAATCAGTTCCCCAGGGGCGCCTGGGTGGCTCAGTTGTTAAGCATCTGGCTTCAGCTCAGGTCATGGTCCCAGGGTCCTGGGATCCAGCCCCGAATCAGGCTCCCTGCTCAGCGGGCAGCCTGCTTCTCCCTCTCCCACTCCCCCTGCTTGTGTTCCCTCTCTCGCTGCGTCTCTCTCTGTCAAATAAATAAAATCTTTAAAGAATAAAAAATAAAAAATAAAATCAGTTCCCCAAAGGAACTGACTGGTCTGGCCTAGGACGTGACCCCACCTTCGAGGCGTTTCTGTGACATGTGGGCAAGATGAAGTAGGCGAGCTGGAAAAGCTGGCGATGTGAGATGGGAAGAGTGGTCAGCGCTGGGCCGTGTGGCCCAGACTAGAAGCTACGTGCGTGGAGCGCGCCCAGCACCCTGTTGGTGCCAAGCCCAGGGTAGGTGGAGGGCCCGGGGGCCCGAGCTGGACCTCGAGCTGAAGGTCCTTGGACACGCAAAGTTGATGATGACGCGCTTTGAGGGCAAGGGGAGCAGTGTGAACAAGGAGCAGGAGAGACCAGTCTGGCTCTGGGGAGGGAAGTGTGGGTGTTAAGGTTGCATCTATTAGATTGGGCTCCAAGAAAAAGTCTGAGGGCAGAGCGAGTCCGAGGGGAGCCTTCCACCCTCAGGCTGGACGTCCTTCTTCCCCGAGCCCCTCCCACACTTCCACAGGGGCAGACTTAGCCTCAGATGGGGAACTGTGTGGCTGCCCATGGCAGGGCTGTTCCAGGCTTGGGTGTGAATGCCCCCCGCTCTGCTAGCCTTACCACAACCACACGGACCGAGGAGTGAGACTGCCTCGCTGCCTGTGTCCTCTCGTGCTCCCCGACCACCTCCCCTTCCCCCTGCCCCTCTCTGCACCCGGCATCCAGGTGTGCCACTGCCAGTGGGAGTCAGCCAAACTGTCCTATCCACATCCGACGTAGAGGGAAGAGGTTTGCATGAAGATTTTTTTTTTTTAAGATTTATTTATTTATTTATTTATTTTGAGAGAGAGAGAATGAGAGATAGAGAGCACGAGAGGGAAGAGGGTCAGAGGGAGAAGCAGACTCCCTGCCGAGCAGGGAGCCCGATGCGGGACTCGATCCCGGGACTCCAGGATCATGACCTGAGCCAAAGGCAGCCGCTTAACCAACTGAGCCACCCAGGCGCCCTTTGCATGAAGATTTTAAAAGATCTCCCAAATTCTAGCAAGGATCCTCGTTACCTCCATCTCCCACCCCTCTCCTATCACCATGGGTCAAAAGGGGGCCAGAGGAACACTCTCCTCTAATCCAGGTGGCTTCAACCTTTGATGTTCTAAGCTTCATGAGTTTGAAGATGTGGTCGTGGGATCCACTCAGGAGATGATAGGAGTGGCCGAGTCAATGAGACAGGGCCGTAGAGAGAACCGGAACGAGGCATTCTCTCCCCCTGGCATTCCAATGCTGTGCCTTTTGGAGCACCGGGTCTCTTCCTTTACTCCTTTATTTATTTGGTGGTGGATCTGCCCAAACTCCACCTGGAAGACAATGCTCCTCCTACACTTGGCTCTCCCTAAAACTTAGTGCTACATCTGGGCACACTCTTTCTCATCCAGTTGTGACTCCTGCTCTCTGAGGGGAATGGGCTGAAACGCCCTGCAGCCCTAGAGGAGGCGTGGGCCCCACGCTGTGCCCTGCCTTTTGGGGGGGCCCTTAGGTCTCCGGAGGACTTGTTGTGGGGGAGGTGAGTGTGGGGGGGAGATGAGGGGCTGTGACCTGCATACTCCTGGACTTGGCAAATTAAGTGGAAACACCAGAATTGCTTTTCTCTTTCCGAACTGATTTTCAAAATATGTTTAGCCAGATTATTTTCAGATCTCAAACAGAAAAACCTCATTAATCATTAATTTGGATCCCTACAGTTATACAGAATTTGTAACAATTTGTTTATCTTTGAAGGAGCTGCTAAGAAAGAATTTAGTGAGGAAATTACTGGGGACGAGGAGGAGAGTATTTAACCTTTCACGAAGACAGGAGCTCTATTTAGCTTCCCTCTGGGTACCGATGGGGTGTGTGCGACATGCATGTCACTCTTGTCTGTCCCTGAGTGGAGTGAGTCCTTCCTCATCGGCAAGCTCAGGGCCAATGGACTGGATCCTCAACCATTTCAAACCTGGGGACCCCTTTCTGATGTCAAAATATTTTCTATATCATCCCCGCCCCCAATTATTAGAAGATGCATCTTTTATTTTTTATTATTATTTTTTTTAGAAGGTGCATCTTTTAGTGTAGCAGATTGAGAAGAAAAGCTACTCTGAATTCAGTAAAGCTTTTAAGCAAATCACAACAGCATCTGTGTACACATGAAAAATAGTGCTATCTTTCTGAGTCATGGTGTTATTCATTCTATAGCTGATGTTTGAGCACATGTGAATTCCAGCTCCCCTGGGCTATCCCCGCAGGTGGGAACCCTTGCACAGTTCTCTAAGTCTGTAGGACCACGGGGTCCTAGAGTTCCAGGGCAGGAAGGAGCCTAGGGGGTCACTGTGGTTACTCCCACCTTAATGATTCTCTGCCTCCATGAGGAGTCCTTTGTTGGGGGAGTCCTCAGTTTAGGGGACCAAGGGGGTTGACATGTGTGTAGGCACACTTGACACCTGCCATAAGCTGTCACTTCAGGGGCCTGGATCAAACTCTACAAGCTGCTTCCTCGAAGCCCCTCACCAGTCCTTCATCCCTCGGTGGGAGTGATGTGTGCATCAAGCTGGGTGTCAGTGACAGATATCCCATAGCAGCAAGAGAAGCAAGGTGCAGTCTTCTGGGTAGCCTGGAAGACTTTTCCCAGCTCAGCTTCCCCAGGGGCCACCAGACACCTTTCTTCCCTTTCTTTGTTGCAGGAAGTTGGGGAAGGGGAAAATGGATGTGCAAAGCACATCAGAGCTGAGGAGGAAGGGACCGAGGGGAAGACCCTGCACTTAAAGGTCAGGAGTTCTTGGTCCCAGCATGGGCTCAGGGGCCTGAGGACACCCTGATCTTACAGCCAAAAGTTGTGCATGTGGGCATTTTTCTGGGGAGAATTTCTTGAATTTGCATGAGATTCTCAAAGCAGTCCACAAGCCAACAAACTTTCAGAAGCCCTGGCCTGGAATACCAACTTTTCCCTGACTCAGGCTTCCCACTCCCCGGTTACTCAGAACTGGTGAAGTGTAGTCAAAGCCCACAAGTGTGAAATATCAAATGCTCATTACATGACGTTGGGGGCAAACTTAGTCTGTTGAGCGAGTCTGTTTTGCTGCCTCGTGTGAGAAGACTCAGTGGCGAACAGATGCCCGGGAAAACGGTCTGATTAATGACGCTGCTTCCTTTGTCCACCCCCACCCCCACCCGCCAGGGCCCGGGATGGCACTCTCCGTGACAGAACTCATTATCTTCTCCCTCCTGCAAACTGCCCTGTCCCTGAACCCCGAGGACCCCAACGTGTGCAGCCACTGGGAGAGGTAAGCTGTGGGTCTCGGGCGGCCAGGCGTTCCCTCAGGACCTGTCCCTGGGGCTTGGTATGGTTGGGACAAAAGCAGAGTCGGGAGGTACAGAAGCTGCCCACCGTGGGCCTGCAGTCCAGCTGGAGAAACAGCGCATGCACTGGAAGACAGGACCAAGCAGTGTCGATTCTGTCTACACTCGGGGCTGTGGGAGCTCCAGGCCGAGGGGCTTGACTTAAGTGATGCTGTCTGATAGTTTGCAAGGAATTCTGGTCTCTCCCTGCATTTGCCCTTCCTGGCCATTTTACAGATGAGGAAGTAGAGGCACAGAGGGGCTCAGTGCCCGCCCATAGCCAGGCGGGGGGTGGGGCGGGGGCAGCAAGTGTGGTCCAGATGTGCTCTTCTCCAAAACCGTGACACCTTGCCTGGTCCCCCAGGACTGGCATCAGTGTGGTGGCTTGCCTGTGCCGGGCGGCCGGCTGCCAGCCCCAGGGAGGACAGGTGAGGGACTCTGCTGCTTCCAGCCGGGGTGGGAGGGCCCCCCGGGGGAAGTACGGCCCGGGACCTTGGCAGAAGAGCTGGCTGCCTTCCGGCTGCCGCACTAGGTCCGCACTGGGTCCGTGGGGAATGGGCCAGGGCCCTGCAGACAGCCTGACTTTGAAGTACAAGGTTAAAGTATTGATTCTGGTGAGCAGAGAGATAGTGACCAGAGACCCAATCAGGAAAAGCGAATTAAACCCTGGAATTGATTGGTTATGCTGACCAGGACGACTCTGCCACTTAGATGTTAATACATCAAATGAATAAAATTAAGATGAGCTCCAGCGAGTGGGGCTCTCCGTGCTCTCTGCTTGTGAGGGGGAGTGTCCCGGCCCCACGGCAGGGCAAGGCGGCCCGCCCAGGCAGCACCAGGCCCTTCAGGGATGGGCTGGGGAAGCAGACGGACTGTGCCCCTGCTGGCATGGTCAGCATGGACTGGGCACGCTATGGGAGTCCCTACAGTCGGGGCGGGAGCAGAAGCTGGTGCTGTATCATGCCCCTTTTAGGGGAAGGGGGAAGAAGGCAAGACCTGTCAGGAGAAGACCTTTGTTCATTCCAGTCTGGATCTTGCCACCTGCTAGCTGTAAAGACTTGGGGGAAGTCTCTGAACTGCTTTGAGTTTGCTTCCATCTCTGTAGAGTGGGAAGAATAATTGCCCTGGCCTCCCAGGCTCGCAGGAGGATCAGGGTGCCAATGTCATGAAAGGGCTTTCAGGACTGTAAAGGTCAATTATGGTCTTTTCTTGTTTATACCTCTGGCTTTGCGGGAACTGTTTCTCACACACTTTAATGCACCTCAGGCTCACTGTAGGTGTGGATGAGAAACAGTCTCCTGGGTCCCAGCCCCAGAGACTCCGATGCTATAGGTCTAGGGTAGAGCCTAGGAATATGCATTTTTGATAAGCTTTCCGCATGACTCTTAGGTTACTCAGGCCCTTTGCCCCTTCTGGTCTTGGCGAATCGAAACCTTTATTTCCCAGAAGGTGAGAAAGCTGTCAGCTCAGATTGCACATTATTAGTATGTGGTACGTAGACTCCAGCATCAGTAGCCCCCCTACCATCCCCCATCCCAGCTGAGACACAGTTGCTTCCTGCCCACGGTCGTGCTATATCCCCGACCTCCAGAATACCCTCTCCCCGTCTGCCTTTCTCTGCCTTCCCCAGCTCCTCTGACCGGGCCCCTCTCCTCCAAGGAGCCTTCGCTGATGGCAGAGCCCTTCCTCACTTCCCTCTTCTCAGGGTCCCGACTGGATCACTTTGAACAGTGGATCAATTCAAACTCAAACCGAATTCTCTAATTTTCTAGACCTCCCCGATATCAATCAGTTTGGAATATGAAAATACTCTGAACGGAGCCTGCACTGAGCTGGCTGTCAGCTGAGGTGATCCTTTGACGGGAGGACAAGTACTGACCGTATAACTAAAGTGAAGTCGGGGGACCCCTGTGGCTTCTCCAGCCCCTAGGGAGGAGGCCTTGCAGGCAATGCCCCGCAACACCACGTGCCTTCTTCTTGGCTTGCCCACCTGAGCTCTGCTGCCAATGACACGTGGACAGATGTAGTCTGTGTCATTCCAGAAACAACGCTCCGGTCCCCAGAGACCGCTTAGGGAGAATTTCTCAGCCGGATTAGTGCTTGTGGCGGGCTCCCTGTTAATTATGCCCCTCCACCATCAAACCCAGTGGAAAGACCTCCCCTGGCTAATAAAGCCCAGCTCTACAAGATTAACCTGGTCCCTCATTAGCATGTTGGCAAGTGAGCGTGTTAAACCGACCAGCCATGAAACTGGGGGCACACCCTTCGCCCCAGAGACTTGGAGTTGATTCGAGGTCTCATTGCCAGACTTGCTCAGCCCAGGACACCCCTGCAGAGCCGGGACTGTCCCCCATGACACTCTCCTCACCCCTCTGTCGGGCTGGTGCCTCTTCTCTGAGCACCCGCTGTCTCTGTCAGGACTGGAAGGGGTGCCTGAGTCCCCCCCGAGTGCTTAACAAAGGCAGGGAGTCCATTCCGTGTGTGGGTCCTGCTCTTCTCTCCCCTACCACGGTCAGGGAGGAAATGGCCCCCAGTGCCAAGTGCAGGAGGTGAACCGCTGCGGTCGTATAATAATGGTGGCCAGCATCTATTCGGCACTGGGCACCCATTAAAAATTTTACACGTGTTATCTTGTGTTGAGCACTTTACATGTCTGTCTTCTCTTGCCTTATCTTCCCACCACCCTGAGAGGTGGACACTCTTATTGCCTTGCTGAATCCTTGCAATGACTGTGTGAAGTCCCTGGCAATTTTTGTCATGAATTTACAGGGGAGGAAAAGGAGGCTCCCATGAGTTAAGCAACATGTCTAAGGACATGCTGCGAATAGGTGACAGGGTTCACATGGGACCCAGATCTCATGCACTCTGAGCCGTTCATTCTCCTGCCCTAAGTGAGGTGTTCAGAAGCCGCGTGGAAACATAGGATCATGGACTCTGAGAGTCGGAAGGGGCCCCTTGGGAAGCCAGGGGTGGGTGTTGAGCTGCCTCGGTGTCCCCAAGCCTGGAGATGAAACCGGGCTTGGCCCATGTCTGCACAGACGTGTGCCTCTGACTCACATCTCCATTGTGCCGGCTGGTAGAGGCTCAGCAGGGACCCTCCTTACATCCTCAGTGCTTCAAAGAACCAGAATTTTCCAGCGCCCTGAGTCCCTGTGCCCTGCTGACTTCTCCGGGGCCCTCTTTCTGGATTCCAGATCTTTGACCTTTCAGGCATCAGAAAGCCTGCTGTGGACCCACTCGGGGAGCTGGCCTGCCCAGCCCCCTTGCAAGCAAACCAACAGTCTCCTCAGGCAAAGCAGACGGATTTTTAGAGCCTGGATCTGGCCATCTGGCCCAGGTCAGTGAGCCGTCTGGGGGGAAACAATGAGGAGTACCAACCTACAAAAAAATGAATTCCTGACATCTCAGCTGGGGCCCTCTCCCAGCCTGCATAGCAAGTGTGAATCTTCCCTTCAGCATCCTGGCTCGACTGCCTTCTCATACAAATCCGGCTGGGGGCGGGCAAGTAGAAAGGCTTATGGGTTAAGGCTGAGATCTTCCTCCCCAAGAGTTCTTCCCACTGTTCAGGTTTATAGCTAACGGACAGCATAACAAGATAGTACTTCGATTAGGAGTTCTGGGGCATGTCCTTGATGCTCCCCCAGCTATACTGGAGACAGAGCAGAAGGTAACTGGGGGACCTTGGGGAAGTCACTTATTCTTTCTTTTCTTCATTGTCCTTGTCTGTAAAATGAAGATAGCAATGCCACCAACCTTATAGGATTGTGAGGACTAAAATGGATTAAAACACTTAGCACAGGGCACTCAATAAATATCAGCAGTTAATTGGTACCGTGGGCAAGCTGGTCTCTCTGAGCCTTAGTTTCTTCATCTGTAAAATGGGACCACTTCATAAAACTGCTACAAGGATCAGCTTCCATATATATGCTTTGAAACCCATAAAAATCTGAACAAAGTATTTTAAAGCTTGTTGGCTCTGCCTTCCAGAGCCACATAGAATAAACCTAAACCCTCCCTTATTCATTCTCTGATAAATGAACAAATGATCTAGAATTTCAGAAAATGAGCTGGGCCAAAGGGCAGTAAGGGATATGTCTTGGATCCAGGCTGCGTCAGGGAGGTGTGAATGCTGAGGGCATCCAGGGCAGGAGGAGGGTAGTGGGGTGGGAGGAGGTTGGAGCCCCTGAATGCCTGGCTGCGGGCCTGGTTCCCCTGGGGAAGGAGCCCCCATCTTGAATATCAGCTCAGCCTCTCAAGTGCTGACCATAGCTTCTACCTCCTGTCCGGTTCTCAGCTATGCCATGACCGTCCAGGAATCATATGCACACCCCTTCGACCAGATCTACTACACGCGATGCACGGACATCCTCAACTGGTTCAAGTGCACCAGGCACCGGTGAGTACCTGATCTCGGGTGATGGTGCAGGGAGAATGTACTGGGCCCTCAGGACTCACCTTTGTGCCAGTTAGTAAAAGGCCCCTGGAGTAGCTGTAGGCAGTGCACTGCTTGTACCCCCTTGGTGCTCAGTCTTTACCCTGAACATCTGAGATGCTCTGCTGAGGGCTTCCTTCTGGCTAGAGAAGCTTATGGGCAGGGCGGGTCAGGAGTGCTGGAGAATTACTGCCCTTGGGGGCATCCCTCAGCCAGTGAGAAATGGGGAGTTGCTGGGTAAACCCCCCCCCCAGCTCCCTCACCCTGAGGGTAGAGGGGAGAACTCTGAGGAACATTCTACACATATCCCAGTGCACCGTGAATTGGCTGCCTTTTCTTCCCTGTCTGTTTTCCCCCCTCCCCTCCCAGCGCTTCCTTAGATTGCCTCTCCAATAAAATGCTTGTCCCTGAATCTTTGCCTCAGGGTCAGCGGGGGGACCTCTAACCTCAGGCAGATCCCTCAGAGCAGATGTAGCCCCATGGCAGGGCATCTGGCTTGGGGAACTGAGCACGGGAGAGAACTGGGCACCTTCTTGTCACCTTGGCCCGGCTGCCCATGGGAAGAGCTCAATCTAAATGACTGTGTGGGGGTCCCCTGCTCCCTTGTCTGCAGCCCTCCTGCAGATCATGCCATTCTCTCATGTTGCTGGGGGAGAGAGGAGAGGAAGGAAGAGAGAACACGTTTTATTGGATGACCCTGGGCAAACTGCTTTATTTGGGAATTCCCAGTGTGCTCATCAAACATACAATGATCTCTGCCCTACCTACTCACAGGGTCCATTGAGGTCAGGGATGAGAAAATGCTTTGAAAAGTGCAGGGGAAGACGGGGAAAAGCGAGCTATTAGATCTGAGCAAGGTGGCACTATTATTTGAGGGATGGAAACCAGCAGATGAAGGGTGGATGAGCGCATGAGGGGAAAGCCACCCATTAGGCCTCTTCCCTAGTCGCCGAGCATCCATGTTGGTTCCAGATTTCTTTGGCTTCCTCCACGGGGGCCTTGTCCCTCTTTGTGGTTTATGCCTGGATCGCGGTGGGTAGCAAGGTGGATGGGGAAACTTGCTCTATGCTGAAGTGCCAAAGTCCTGGTTTTCTTTGGGGTTTTGTTGGTAGGTTGCTGTGAGCATAGACATGATATAGCTGCTAATTCCAACGTCTGGGCCACTTCACGGTGGTCTTCATTCATTGTCTTTTCCTTTATGTAGGCAGTATTTTCCAGTTGCTTCTTGCATCTAGTAATTTTGAATTGTATTCTGGGCACTGTGAACAGCAGAGATTGTAGAGAATGAAATCTGTTACGTTCCTCCCGAGAGGATTGACTTGTTGTTGTTGTTTGTTTCAGCAATCAGTCAATCTGGCTGCATTCGACTTCCAGACTCTGAAAGTTCCATATTTTTAGCCTTAGTGGGACCGTGTGGGGTCTGCCCCCCACACATACCATTCAGGGGCCAGAAGTTTGGGCAGAGATTTTACAAAGAATATGGGACTTCCTCTTTGTGGCTCTCTCTTTTCTGGGGTTTCACTTTTCACTCTCAAATTGCTGGATCCACCCTGGACTTGTCTTGCAGTGCTTTAAGCCAGGAAGACTGTGTGTTTTCGATCTGAATTATAGCCAGCTGGAATATGGTTGATTGGGGCCTGCCCTTGAGCTGACCTTGTCCAGTGTCATTTCCTTCTCCGAATTTCTCTTTCCCTCCAGTATCCACCTTTGTTCCTTCTCTGGTGCCTTCTGGTAGTTGTGTTTTGTTTTTTGTTTTTGTTTTTGTTTTTTAATATTTCTCCCAGATTGTATAGTTGTTTGTAGGAACTTTGGTCCAACAGGAGCTACTCGGCCATGACCGCATCCCCTTCCCCTAGCTCTTGATTGTGAAATGAGGCGGTGGGATCAAATATCCCCTTCCAGCTTCCTTAGCTGTGCCACGTTGGCTGCCTGTGGCCCCGGTCAAAGGTGGAGGCAGAAATAGAGGTCCTGCTCCCTCCGTGAGCCCTGTCAGGCCCTGTGCCAGAGCCAAGTTTGCTCTGAGGTGTGGCTTTGTTGGGTACTCGGAGGCCGGGGCTGCCATCCATCAGCGCTGGGGGGAAGGTGAGTGAGTGGCTGCTTATTAAAATAGGCTGCCTTCCTGGAACATGAATTATTTTGCTAAATTACTGAGTTGCCTTGCAACTTTCCTGCTGACCTGGGGTATGCATGCTGACAGCCACACCATCAGTCTGCTTCAGTGTGGAATGTTTTATTTAAATGCAGCATCCTTTTCCTGACAGCCTGGCTCCTGGACCCTTCCCTCTGCTGCTCCCCACCCCAACGCTGGGAGCAAGCAAGGGTGGGAGAGCCAGAAGCAGCAGGAGACATCTCTCTCCTGGGAGGCTGCCATGGTGCCGAGACCACCCCTCCACTGGAAGGACTGGGGGATACCCCTGTGTGGTGGGACAACTGGGTTGGATGAACTCTGAGCCAACCCCGACTCTTCCTTTATCTGAGAGGTCCACGCCACCCCCAAAATTGCCAGGAGCTGCTTTCCTGTACCGGGGAAGGAGCTTCACTTTGAGGCTGGCTTACTTTTCATTATGGGCTTTTGACAAAGTAGAATGACCTTAGTTTATGACATTCCCAAATATCACGGATTTCCCTGGGGCCCTGCACTGTCATTTGTCATAAAGCGGGGGCTTTAAAGACTGGGAGGGCTGTGGGACTCCCTTCCCAAGTTGGCCTGACCCTCCACGAAAAGCAGGCTGTAGGCATCTCCCATGTCTGGTCCCCGCTGCTCTGCCCCCTGAGGAGGGGTCCTCAGGGCAGGCTCCCCTGGGGTGTGGGTGGGGATTGAAGGAGCTCTGGCTTCAAGGCCCAAAGACGGGGTTGAGTCCTTGTCATACATCATGACCTTGGGAAGTTAGTTCCTCTCTCTGTCCCTTAATGGCCTCTTCAATCTCTTCCATTTTGACTTTAGATGTGAGGAAGGGGTTTTGGCGTAACAATACCCCATCTTGATTTCCTCTTAAGGACTCGGTCCTCCCACCAGCCATTTACCTGGTCTTTCTCATTCACTATGGCCATCCCATATGGCCAGCCAGCCACCCTGTGGGGACTGGCACTGGACACTAGGTTAAGCCTAGTGGCTTTGAAATTAGAGTGACTTGGTTCAAATCTTGATTCTGAAGCTGATTCATTGTGTGACCTTGAGCAGGTCATTAACTTCTCTGAATATCAGTTTTCTCATCCACGAAACAGAAGAGGGGTTCATAAAGTAAGAATAAAAACTGTAAAAAGGAAATAAAACAAAGGTGACATAGTCCTGCTACCTGCCTCAGATAGAGAATGGAATGAGGTTGCGCCTAGAAATCTCTCTGGCACAGGATGAAGTGTCCATGCCTGTGCCAGCAGAAGGGCCACACTCCAGGTCTCCGATTCCCAGGCCAGAGCTGCTTCTGCTCCCTGGGCCTTATAGCTTCTTCCTATTGCAGAGCCAGGGGCTGGTTCTGAGCCTTCCCAGGGATGGCATGCGAAGCTCTTGCCCAGGACATGTTATTTTTGGCATGAGGGAGGTTAATCCACTCTCTGGGACTGAGTCAGACTCAGAGGGCCCTTTGCTGATCCTGTTTCAGTTCTCCAGATGGGTGGACTGAGTCCCTGGAGGCCGCGAGCAGCCTGCTCATTTGGGCAGTGGCCATGGCCACTCCCAGGGCCCAAGTCCAGTTCGGGTCCCCCCAGGAGCTCCCTAGGAGCTCCCCAGGGTCTGGAGGCTTTCAGGAGAAGCACCTGGTTACCTTCCACCGTCACCCCGGAAAGGATCTTCCTAAACCCTTCTCGGTATCACGCCGACGAGACGGGGGAAAGTAGGTGTAGCAAACGCCATGTCAGTAATACATTCTGCATCACAGTGGCCCAGATGCAGCCATCGATTTTTCTTTATTGTGTTCCTTCATATTCGAAGCTGCCATGCATTTTAAAGTAATTATTGAATGGCATCCTCAATATAGCTTAACACAAATATCATTCTAATGCGAGTGATTGATTTTCAATACTTTCAAGTGGCTTTCTCCCTTGTGCCTCAGGATCAGCTATAAGACGGCATATCGGCGTGGCCTCCGGACCATGTACCGGCGCAGGTCCCAGTGCTGCCCTGGCTACTACGAGAATGGGGACTTCTGCATACGTACGTAGGGGCTGCCTCCCTGGGGCGGGGAGGGAACCAAGGGGAAGGGAGGTAGGGGGCTGTCAGCCAGGCCCTGGGCAGCAGGCCTTGGCTGAGCTGAGGGCTCCAGAAATCCCTGCCTACTGGCAGCTCTGCGGGGATCAATGGGTCTGGTACAAGCACGTTCGCACAAATTTGTCCATCAGGTCGATCTCCTAAGAGGGTTGGATAGACGCCAGTCGGTTCTAGGCTTTGATGGGGTCAGGAGAGAAGTGGACACTTTCGGAGCGTGCTCTGAGGAGCTGTGGGGAGGAAGGGCTGAGTGCCTGGCACAGATCGGAAGGGCTCCAGAAGGCTTTGCTGGATGGAAGGAGACATGGATGGATAGAGGCTGGAAGGGAGGAAGGAAGGCAGGCTGGATCACTGGAGAGCAAGACTGTAGTACCGAGAAGGAGGGTAGGAAGAATAAGAGATCACAAGGGGCCGGTTCTAGGAAGTGGGAACATTTCCAAAAAGGGTCAGGAGACCTGAGGACACGGTGGGTGCGAGGGCTTAGTTTCTGGCAGCTGCAGGCCCTCTGGGTGGGAGGGCGGTGCTGTGCAGTGGGAGACACCCAGGAGTCTGCAGATCTGGGTTCTGGTCCCAGCTTCCCGGAGATGTGGCTTTGGGCAAGTCATTTAACCTTTCAGGGAGAATGACTGTAGGGTTAGAGTCTGTTAGAGTCCAACGGACTCTTTCCCACCACCTCTGACAGGTGCAATGGGGCCAGTATGGGGTGCTCCAGTGGGCAGTAGAGTTTTGCCACAACTGTGGAGAGTGTCAGAGAAACTGGGACCCCCCCCCATTAATGACAGAGGGGAATCCACCCCCATAGCTTCTGCCTCTTCATTTGGAGGCAAATTTGGAGAGTGATTTTCCTTGTTAGCATTCTCCTTGCCCTTTGGGTGGGTAGAGTGAGCCAGCACCAGAGAGCCGATTTGGGCAGGGTGGGCGTTAGTGTTGGGAATGAAATGACAATTTTCCCCTCCTGATGTTACATGTCCCCTCTCGCTGGAGAAGCTCGATCCTAATTGCATTACAGGAGTGAATGAAAAATGCTCACACAAATGGGTTCCGTAGTGATGGTTTTGCAGGAAACATACAAAGATACGCACGCAAAGCCATCCCCAAAAGGCTGTGTCTCAGGAGCGGGGCAGAGGACTGGACTGGGACAAGGCATTGGCCAACGCCTCACCTGGGATGGAGCTCCTACGGGGACCTGGGTGTAGAAGTGAGATCAAGACCAAGGTTTTACTGCTGCTGTCTGCCCAGAGGAGAGTGAGAGCCAGGCGTGGGGTGTGACCCAGGACTCACAAAGCCCGAGCAGAATGGATGTGAGCGGCCCTTCAGGGCTCGGGGCGCAAGGATGGACTCGGGGAAATGATAAAGGGAATTCAGCTGTCAGCACAGGGCTCCAGGAACAGAGGAGCACATTCTTTTTCTAATTTCCATCAGTGATTCTTGGTAGAGCTCTTGGAAAATGAAGAGCAGGGCAGAAGCACTAAGTGTCCCGATTGCACAGACCCAGTCTTATAATCTCCCACCTACTCCTTATGTCACAGCCGTGGGCCAGCACCCCTCTGGGAAGCCAGCCAGAAAAGCCAATTTTAGGACTGAGGGCTCCTCCTGAAGGGGGACAGGAGTTTCAGCAGTGAGATGGGTCACTGTGGCATGCGGGGTGCTGGTAGTGATGACCCAGGGGGGCAAGAGTCCCATAGGTCTGGGTTTGAGTCTCAGTTCTGTCCCCCCCAACTTCTTCCTCTTTATGCTCATCCTTATGGTCTTCAGAGCACACCCCCCACACGAGGCACTGTTCTGATCACTTTATATACATGAATGCATCAGCTCCTCAGAACAGCCCTCTGAAGTAGGTACCCTGATCTCTCCCATTTTATAGATGGAGAAACTGAGTCACAGAGTGATTAAGTGACTTGACCAGGATCATACAGCTAGAAAGTGGTAGAACTGGGATTTGAACCTAGGCTCTCTGGCTCTGGAGTCTGCTCTGACCCACTTAGATGGGCTGCTTCTCTCTCCATGAGCCTAGGCAAAATGCCGCCTCTTGGTACCTCAGTTTCCTTTCATGTAAAATGGGGATAGTAATAGATATCACCAGACACAGTGTAGGGGCTTAATAAATGCCAGCTTCCTACTCCATGACTTTGGGTCTTACCATTTTTCACTCTTGGCTTTTGTTTTAATTTTTTGCACCTCCATGGACCCTGTCCCTGGGAAAATGCACATGACATATATAACCCCCCCCACACACACACACAGCTCTTTGCACACAGTTTCAGTGGGTCCATGGAGCCCTCAAATCCCTTACAGAGTCTTTGGACCCACAGTAAATCATTTCTGCCATATTTCATGTTTATGTACACTGTTCCTTGTCGACTTGTTTCCTACTCAGTGCTGGGGACATAGACACACACGAGGAACAGTTGCTACCTCGAGGAGCTTGCGGCCTAGTGGAAAGAGATGGTCTGGTACATGGATACCTGCCCCCAGAGTTACAGATGCTTCAGTGGGCATCTTCATAAAGTAGGGCAGAGTAGAACGGAGAGATGTCTTCTTCAGCCATGCCCACTTGTCGGGTATTAATGAGGAATCAGCTTTAGGGGAGTCTGGGTGGCTCAGTCGGTTCAGCATCTGCCTTCAGCTCAGGTCATGATCCCGGGGTCCTGGGATCGAGCCTCACATCAGGCTCCGGGCTCAGCGGGAAGCCTGCTTTCCCTCTCCCTCTGCCGCTACCCCTGCTTGTGCTCTCTCTCTTTCAAATAAATAAGCAAAGTCTTAAAAAAAAAAATGAATCAGCTCTAGACAGAAGACTGAAGGGGGAAACCCTTGAAGGGTTTTCAACCCAGTATTTATTAGATGCCCGCTGTGGCCCACCCGCAGTGCTATGCCTTGGGATATAGGAGAGGTGTTAGGAATAGCTCTTGCCCTCGTGGAACTCATGGTCTTGTTGGGAAGGCCAGGCCACACGCAGAAAAACCCTGTGGATAACAGCCAGAGGCGAGTGTGTGAAAGAACACAGATGGGACATGCGAGGCTGGAGACAGCCCTGTGACCTGCTCTCCCTCGGGGGGCTTCGGAGGGCTTTGGGCTGGATGGAATGGTGTCTTTGGGCATGGATGGAACAGGGAACCCCATCAACAAAGACGGGGAGGCGGCTGGCCTGACCGTGGGGGCAGATCTGGGCTGGGAGGCTGGTTGGCTGTGAGGCAGTTACTCATTTCCCTGGGGCTGCCATTTCAAGCCGCACAGCCTGGCTGGCTTAATCCATAGGAGTGTACTGTGTAACCGCACTGGAGGCTCGAAGTCCAAATCAGGATGTCAGCAAGATTGGTTTCTTCTGCTCTAGGCCTCTGCCCTTGCTTCTGGTAGCTCCATGGCTCGAGGCGCCGGAACTCCATTCTTCACACGGCCTTCTCCTGATAATGTTTGTCTGTCTCCAGGTTTTCCCTTTGTATAGGGACACCCTTCAGACTGGATTAGAGCCCACCCTAATGACCTCATTTGAACTTGATTACCTCTAATAAGACCCTATCTCCAAATAAGGTCAGATTCTGGAGAATTGGGGATTAGGACTTGAACATATGAATTTTAGGGGGACACAATGGAGCCCATGAACAGGTGAGTGTTGGCCATTGCTAGCGTTCTCTTGTTCCTGCTTATTGTAATGGGAAGAAAGGAAGGGGACCGGCCAGGCTTTGTCAGCTGTCCAGGAGTGAGTGGAGACCCCAGAGTCAGGGATCTTGTGTGAGGGATGGTGCCCAGGGTGCTGGGTGCCAGATGAGAGCTTGCAAAACCAGAGGCTTTCAGGAATTGATGCCCTGTGGCCCCTCCCCGTCCACTTCTTCTCCACCCCTTGGGAGCCAGAGAACCTCCAGGTTCACCAGAACCTGGTGAGAACCCATCTGATGCCAAGAGTCCTCAGGACCGTGCACAGGAACATCTGTGCTCTGGGGCAGGGGACATCATCCTCCCTCCAGAACCACCTTCTGGAGCCCATTTCTTAGCAGATACTAGAAGGACACTGGCCTGGAGTAAAAGCCTTGGCTGACTCTGCTATCAACTTGCTGTGCAATCTTGGGCAAGTCCCTTTGCCTCTCTGGACCCACTGTGGCATAGGATGGATCATCCCTGTGCGTGGAAGGAGTAAGATAAAACAATGAGTGAGTGTGTCCTGGGGTGCATAGAGCTCGATACAGATGCAGACTCCTCTTTGTGCCATTTTCCCTGCCCCAGAACTGCCGTCCTTATCCCAGAGCCCTTGGCAGCCCTTCTAGAACCTTCTGCACCAGAACTGCCCACCCCCTCCGTTAGCTGCCGATACAGCTGAGTCCTAGCTCCTCTTGGTCACCCAGGCATCAAATATTTCCTGAGGATCACCGGGCACAAACACAGTTCTCTTTCTTTCTCCTTTCTTGGGAGATAGGGCAGTGAGCATCTTTGCCTGATCAGCATCTTTGAGCTGATTTTGTCACTTACACAGTGGGGTTTGCGGTATTTCAGCAAACTGCTCTTTGAAAATATTAGGTGCTATCGGACTGGATGGGTTTGGTTACGATGCTGTAACAAACAACACCCAAATCCTGGTGGCTTAAAAGAATAGTTTTAGCCCTTGTTCATTTGACATGTCTGTCCTCTGCCAGGACCCAGGCTGTTGGAGCAGGGGGCTCTGGAGTGTTGCTGGTTGCTGTAGCACAGAAAAGAGGGCTTGAAGTATTGAAAGCAGAGGGCCAAAGTATTTAGTGAGCACTATCAATGCTTAGCACCACACAGATGCCATGGTAATCACAATTCACAATTCACTCAAATGTATTATCGAGCACCTGATTACTTAATATAAGAATCACCTGGAAGACGTGTTCTAACTTCCGACACAGACTACTGAGCCCCAGCATCAGTCTCAGATTCAGAAGACTTGGGGAGGGGACTGGAGAATGTGCATTTTTTTTAAAAAAAAGATTTATTTA